CACCCATCTCATAAAAATTTTGGAGTTTAAATGTTGTGGGGATAAAGACATTTTGCCTTCAGGAGCAACAGTGCATTTTGTGCAAATGTGGGAACTATGTGGGAAGTGTAAGACAGTTGAACCTTAACTATTCATTGCTTGTTTTTAAGAGCCTGGATTTTGTAAATGATGTGGAAGAGAAGAGGGCTGCTGTCACTTAGCAACACTTTCTGGTTCAGGAACAAAATGTTTCACTGTTGGAATCTGTGCAGTGCTGCTACAAAACATTCCTGAGTAGGAGCAGGGGAGCTCTGGAGTTCTGGAGACCTTTGGTGCAATTGAAGTCAAGTGTTCCTGTTGCTGCATTTGTGAGATGCATTCATGCTGCTTTTCATGACCATTAAGATTTTTGTTGTCTACCTCATTATTTGTCTGCTGTGACCATTAGCTAAGTAAACATTTCCAAACAACTTCAATAAAGCAAAATTATGTTTTATATTAATGGTACAAAATAATTTCTGCCTCAAATGATTTGTGATACTGCACTTTTCAGTATCAGTCATGTACAAACCTTCTGAGAGGTTTACATTAGCATCCCTAGAGGGAAAGAAGCCAAGTGCTTCAATGTCTGAAGATTTCCTGACTTACTGCTTTTGAGTGATGGTGGCATTTGGTAATGTAGGTCTTAATGAATGATAGCATGATGAGTGTAATTAGAATACATCTTTCTTTTTTAAACACTCTGTTTTTGCTGAGATGAAAAATACTGTCAAGCAATCATACTTCTTGAATGCAAAATGAAATTGGCTGTGTTCCTCATCAACCTGTTAATTAAGTCAGGAGGTTTCCAGAAGGTGAGCTAGGTCCATGTTTCCAGTAAGAAGCTGAGAATTGCTTCAGTTTTTCTGCGTGCCTTTGGTTGAATATGCTTTTCAATGTACATATAGAAGTCTTTTGTCAGTGAGTCTTTTTATTGATAGTCCATGACAAATAAAGAACACAAAGGTATCATTTGAAAACTAGTTATTTTAAGTAATGTGTTTTCAAGCATGAAACTGCAAAAGCATCACCTTCACTTAAAAGATGCAGCCAGCAATGCAAAAAGGAAGGTTACTTCCTATTTTCTTTCAACCATTGAAAAGGCAAAATTATAAATCTTTATTAGCTCTGGCTATAGGAGGAATGGGGATAAACTAGCACATTGACTGGAAAAGCTCCCTGCCCTAGAACTTGATTGTGAAAATTACCTTAAGGAATAGGAACGCTTCTCCAGTCCAAGTTGTGCAGTTGATTTTTGAGGTGTGTATGCAGAACTAAACTAATGCAGGAATATTTATTCTGTAGTTCATTATAGTATCCCTGTTCAGTGGCTGGTTGCTTCCAATATGAGTTTTTGATGCGTCTTTTGTTCTCTGTTATGATCTTTGATATCCTTATGGCAACTGTGTTACCTAGAGATGATAGACTTCAGGCACTCAGGCCTGGAGATACATCCAGAGTTTCTCTGGATTTGAGATGCCCTGAGCTTCTGTAGGAATTGCAAATGTGAGGGGCACCATCCTGTGAGCCAACACAATGGCCAAAGGCTGAACTCTGGACTTCTGAGCAGCAAGAAGAGCACTCCCACATCTGTCTTGACTATCCATGCAATTCATTCCATACAGGAAGTTCTGACTGAGAATATTTTGGTTATTTAAAAAGCGAGTGATGAAAAGCTAAAAACTAAGATGGGAAATATCACTGCTTCCCTGTCAGTATACAAAGTCGTTGCTGACTTGAGTCTGATAATTTCTGCAGGGATAGGTAGGTCTCAGTCATCATACCTGTTTTGCTTCCAGGGTGCCCATCCTGATTTATTCTGACTGAGAGAGCACAGTTTGTGGCAATGTTGGTGCATATATATTAGACAATTTTTACAGTCATAGGTGGAGGTATGGTTGGACTGCATCAAATTCAATGAAAAGGTTCCCAGTGACTCCAGGGGACTTTAAATTACACCCTGACCCACCAAGTACTTTAATGTAGGCTTTAGTTCATTATTTCAGGTTCACTGCTATCACTGAAACTGTTCAAGATGGTAAAGTTAAGCATTTACAGCATTTACAGGTTTTGGACTATTAAGACATCTGGTTTTCTCCCTTTTTCTGTTTTCTTCCCTATTATATGTATACATGCAGATAAACATTCTCTTTTCCTAAATATGAAAAATCCAAAATTTACTAAGTTTACTTCTTTCTCAGTAAAGCAAGTGTACTTAAAATAGAGAATGCTAATTTATGCATATGTGAATAGGTCAAAAAGATCTCAGCAGGAAGTATCACACTTCTTTAATATAAAGAGCAGTGTACTATTTGGTGGGTGATTTTGACCTTCAGTTTCCTCCCTACAGTCTTGCCTTATGTCTGCTGTGCAGTCTGAAATGCACAGTCAGTGGTCATATCCACATTTTAAAGGCTACCTTTGACTCTGCATGCAGGGGGAACTGTACCACATTTTAGACTACCTTGTGAAAGGTCTTTTCCTCTGGATCAATGTTGATTTTTAACTTGTTTGAAATGCCCATTGTTATGTAATGTAGCTTGAAAAGAGATTAAAAGAAGAAAGCATTTTGCTTTCCAATTATTAGCTGAAAATGTGGCTTTTTATTTTTGTCTGTAATAGTAATGAAATAGTAATGTAATAGTAATATGCTCAGCTATTCGAAATTTTCAGTTACTATAAAAACATTATACTTGCACTGATGGGATTTGTTCTGGGAGTTGTTCTACTCATCTTGTTTTCCACTATTATTTTTCTTGCAATTTAGCTTGATTGGTCAAGTTAAATTAGGTGGAATTTGAATGTTATTCCATGCCAGTTCTATGCCCTGTGAGCTTTTCAGTGAGTTCAATAATGCTGTGTTTATATTCTATGTTGCTCAGATTTAACTCTTCAAAAATTTGCATCCTCACCTATTTTAGGCAGATAAGGTCTAATGAGTCTAGCTAGCATAGCAGTTTAGGAAGTCACTGTCTCTCAAATGTCCACACTGCTTCCATGCCAAAGACTGCTTCCACAGCAGTGAAACCAGTTAAAGCAGTGGGATACATATGTTTACACCGTGGCATAAAGCCTACAAATTTTCTTCTGCAGTCCAGAATGAGCCACTATACTAAAGCCATGCAGGCAAGAGCATATATTCACTTCTGCTTGTACTCACTACCAAAAGCTGGAAATTGTAATGTCTTGGATGACTACAACAATTAACTGCAAAAGTCTGTGTTGACTTTTTTTATCCTCTCTTTCTTTAGTGTGTGTAATGTCAAAGCAAGCAGATGTCATTAAGTAAAACCAAACACATTTTTATCTAGTAGTGTCTGGTGCATGCATTTGTCCAATCCTCGCCTGTTTCTGGTCAGAATCCAGAGCTGTTAATTTCCTTAGCAGACTGAAAGCAAAATAGTAGATAACATGTCTAAGAGTAGAAGGTAACTTCTGAGAATTTATGGATCTACAGATGCTTTGCTATCTTTATGTGCTGCAGGTTGTGAAGGTTGGATCAAATTTGCTTTGGACAGTTCCTTCTTTGAAGGTTTCTGTAAAGACTTGGCTTGTTAAAGTTTTATTTTAGTGGTAATAAGGCTAGTTTGATGTTACTAGATGAAAGTGAGTCAGAAAGACTTGAATAAAAAACACATAGAAATGTCTGTACTTCAAAAATCACTTATGGAGCCAGTATTTACCTGGTCATGTAACCAAGTAGTATTTCTGGTAATTCCGTATTCTGTGGATTATTGCAACACAATAACTTCTCCTTTTTGCAGCTGTGCAAATGTGGCATTGTGCACTGGCATAATAAAGTTGTCTTATGTTGCTACTTAGATATCAAAGGAAAATCAAGATATTTCATCAAGAGGCTTCAATAAATTCTTACTGAACTGGCTTTTATTAATACTTTGAAGATGATGAGAGAATTCTTTTGAAATGTTAGGATCAGTGAGGATAAGAAATTTTTAGAAGACATCTCTGTAGCAGATAGCTGCTTGCATAAAGGAGCTACTGAGGATGTAAAATTCCAAACAGTTTTGATTAAGAGATAATCTATCGCTCTCATCTTGTTTGCTTTAGATTTAGAGTCTGATGAGGCTGGGTGGGAGGCAGACACCTTGTCGCCCCTGTGGGATTTTTTCACTTTATTTCCATTCATATCTCAGCACAAGGACATAAGTAATCTTAGCAGGTGGGAGCATTGGTTGACTGAGTAGTCAGGCGACTCTAAAGCTGAAACTGGAAGGCAAATGACAAAGACCAGGCAATTTGTATATCTGGGAGACTGTCATGAGGTGATGCTGCCAGCAGCTTTATCCATAGTGAGTTTCTTCTACAAGGTGAAGCAAGATCTTTGTCCTTCTGGCTGCTGGCCCAGTTCTGTATAGGAAAAGATTGCTGCCAAATGTCCAGCAAAACCTGACCAAGCCACCCTACACAGGGATCTTTGGGAAAGGGAATGATGTCTTGGAAGTGACCAGTGGTAGGTCTACCTCATGTCTCTAACTACTTTTCTGTGTATTCAAAGAAGATAAAATTGATGGTCATGGCATGGTCTGGTCCATAGGTAAAATGCTTCTTGGGGAACAGTTTGTGGGCTAGTAATACATGATATTTTCTTGTGACAGGACTTTACAAACAAGTATGTACTAAATGCTAGAAAGTCAGAGAACCTGGAATAGATGGAACACAGTAAGCTGTTGCTGTGTCAGTTAAATCTAGTTCATTCCAGTTGTTTTGAGTGTGGTCAAATGGATTAAACCTCTTGTAATAAATTTAAATCTCACCAACACATTTTGTAAATGAAGAATAAAAGGGCATTACGGGGCAAGTACAGGAGCATAATTTTCTGTCCATGTAGACAAACCTCAAATTAGCATACTTATTTCTCAGGAATGATGTAATTGTGAATTTGATATCTGTCACATTTCAGAATTGCATGGAGTGTTCTGATTTAAAATGCCTCATAATGCTGCTGCTTTTCCTTTCACCAGAGACCAGCAGAAACTGTAGATGAAGAAGAAAATGTAGAAGAAGAAAATGACAGGGGAGAGGAGGCATATAAAGGAGAGGAAGAATATCCAGAAGTGAATGGAGAGGAAAGTGGGGAAACTGTTAAAGAAAGAATTGAAGTGGAAGAAAACAAAAAGAAATTAAATGAAAATTATGAAGATGAAGCAGGAGAAACACAGCATGTTGACCAAGCAGAGGAAAAGGAACTTACCCATTTAAATGGTGAAAACAATGAAGGAAATGGTGAGGGAATGGAACATTTGAAGTACCAAGGTGATCTTCAGCCTGAAGAAGAAATAAAAGAGGATTCTGACAATCAGAACCAGGTGTGTTTATTTGTTCAAACTGTTTTCCTTATGTTTTTGTTCCTCATTCATCTCAGCCTTAGGCTTCTCATCTGGTCTCTAAGTAGTTAATTTCTGATAAAGTCCTGAGACCATTTATGAGAACTTCAGTTTGTGGAAAAGTTGTTTTCCATCTGTATAGATCAGTTACATCAGTAATTACATTATATGCCCTCCTACTGAGAAAGCAGATGTTTCTCACTGTTTGATGAATCTGCATCTTCTACTTTCCTTAGTATGCTGAATTTTGAAAAAAGTAATGAAAAAAAATCTTGCAGTTTCCAGAAAAGTAGAATCATATATTTCTACACTACTTTGTCTTTTAGGACAGAGCAGAAGAGTGTGTTCATGACACCAGTGCCTCATTATTTTGATTAATTGACTTTCACAAAAGTTGCATTTCATAAAGCGCTTTTGCCATTGCTTTGTGGAAGTTTCATCTTTTTTTCTTAGAAATTGAAAAATACAGTGGATATGAACAAGATCCTTCAAAGCAAGGGGCTTTAGTGAGTTTAAAATCAAATATCCTATTAATTTAGGATACATGGTAACATGCTTGGCTTACATGGAGGGATGTAACCCACCTAAATTAGAACTCCTCTGATTGTCAGATGAGCTGACCAGCTCACAGAGTGTGGAAACTAAGTGTTTGGTTTGCTGGGGAGAATCCAGGTCTAGGAAGAGTGGGATTCATGAGTGTCAGAAGCAGAGCAAATTGCTGCACATTCCCTGCCTACAGGCTGCTGAAAACAGCCTCTTCCTCTGCTTCCTGTGACACTGGGAATGGTTTCTTGCACTTTGAAACTGGGCTTTTTTCTGTTCCTGTATGACACACAAGAATATTTTTCACTTGAGAGAGCTGAGTAACATGACATTATCTTGGGGTCTGAATTTATTCTGTGCTTCATATATTTGATTTTTTTGTTTGTTTTCGATAAGCTGAAGCTATTTATGGAAAAGTGGGAGAGCATTCACTTTAAATGCATATGTGGGTAACTGGGTGCTTGATGAAAGAACTGTAGAGGGGGAACCTCTAATGTGAGTGCTTTCTCCTTTGGAAGATATACAAGTATAAATTAAATGAAAATTTTAATGTGATCACTCTTGGAAAACATTTTTTTTCACATTAAAAATACCTTGTGGAAAACTTAATATGAAGTCCTTAATGCTGTATTGAAATGAAGTGAAATCTTTGGTACCTGATGACATTAACAGTGCCTGTCTTTTTTCTTCAGGTTGATCCCGGTCTTGAAAAGACATCCACAAATCCAAGGGTGACAGTCACCAGCCCACAGGAAAGTGAAAAGAATGACCAGAGCAATGACTATGCGGCAGTTGCATAAACAGGAAAAAAGTAATGAGCAGAAAATGAAAAAGGATAACACTTTAAATGTAAAGCATGTTATTTTTTTGTGTTTGGTAACTTACATTAGAAGGGCAGGTGGAGTACCCACATAATAAGTCGTGAGATGATGATGCTCTGTGGACTGATGAAAAGCAAGCATTTATATCTGCTAGAAGAACATAGAATTATTTTTACAAGTTGAGATTTTCTGCTAGAATTTGAGGGGGAAAATACAAGAGTACTTTATAGTAGTATTAGAAATGAACTATTCTATGATATGAGATAGCAGCAATAGAATAACCACAAAAATTGCACTGTTCCAGGGAAAGGAAAAGAGACCCACTCAGATTTAATGTCAAAACTTCTTTGCAGATTTGTTCAGGAAAATAAACTATTTTTTACCTTTTAACTAGGACATGTGTAGTTTTTCATCTAAAATTCCATATGATAGGTATAATTTTCAGATATAACATTAAGATATAACTAGATTATGTTCCTCACCCAATGGATTTATGCCCACAGAAACCAGTTTACTATTGTGAGGGGCCAGTTCAATGTTACTAAATAGTCTATTTTCAGTATATTAATTAGAATTTCTAGGTTTTGCATACATAAATAGAACTTATTTAGTACTATGAATACATATGGACAGCCTACAATACTGCAGCTTGTTTCTATTTAAAACAGAAAATTTTGTTGTTTATCCTGCACTAATTTACTAAATAGTGAATTATTGTCATCATGAACAAAAAAATAAAGGAAGAATATGTAGCAGATTAGTTTAAAAAGTTGAATTTGAATGGATTTGTAATTCAGTCTAAGAGAAACTTAATTTATTAATGAACTAAAAAAAAGAACATGCCTAGATTCATACTGAAACTTCCATGAAACCATTGCTGTTGATGGAGCCATTTTAATATGTGAGACATCAGAATGAGCCCACCAGCTTTCTGTAAAAGTCAGGAACGATTGTTGCATTTATGAACCCTTTGCATAGCCTTAATGGTTGGAAGTGTGTAATCATCCTTTTGAGCCAGCTGTCTCCTGATAGGCTGTGGATTAATATGCATTAGTAAATAAGGCATTGATCCACGGTATTAGTTCTCTTAATGACAGTGATTCCATTGCTCTTATCATTTCTCTGTTAGTAATGGAAATAATTTGTAGTTCGTAGAAATACAGCCCTGAGCGTAATTTTATTAATTATACAAAAGAAATAGTGGGTTTCCTTATCGTTAATGCTAGTAAATTATTACTACAAGAAACTTAATGTCATTTTTTGTTGATTTTATGCCATTAAGACAAGAATTACATTTATGAACAAATTGAACTTGAAGCACTGTTTAAGGAAGAACCACTTGTCATAACTGAAACTCAAACAAACACCTTCTCTTCTGCTAGTTATTAACTGTATTTTTCCAATGTAATAGAAATAGGTGAAGATCCTTCAGCATATTTCTGTGCTTTGGCAATGTAAGTATAAAAGACGTGTTAAAAAAAACTTACGAACAGCGTTAGAACAGTTTGCCCTGTGTCATCTCTGAATTGTCTGTGAAACCTTCTTGAGACCTTCTGTCTATGAAACCTGTAGCTTCTGTTGAGCTGCCTGTCAAAGATCGAAGGGAATACTGCATTTGTGATCAGTTCAAAAGAAGCTCCTAATTTAGTCAAGCTCTTAAGCAAAGTATGCATGCTTCCTTTTTTTGTGGTAGCAATTAAGCCTATGCTCAAATATTTGGTTTCTCTGGGATTTCAAAAGACATAGTTAAGTAGAAGTAAAAACTGACCCAACTCTCGCCAGAAAAACAAAACAAACAAAAATCCCAAAACAAAACCAAAAAAAGCCTGAACCAGAATGGATAAAATAACTGTGGGTGATGGTAAGGTAAAATGACACAGGGTGCCTTTATTGCCGGTTTCTATTTATAGCTTCTGAGTCCCAGCAGTTTCTGTCAGTTCTTTCCTTTCTCCAAAAGTTTGGTATTTTCCATACTTAAAAGACTTACAGACATCAGTAAGAATAATTTAAAGAATTAAACGAAATTCTAGGGAAATATAACGTTATCATTTTTCTTCATAGGAACAAGAAATTCCTGTGAGTGTTACTCCACTTTGAGAATGTTTCCTCCTCTGTCCTCTTGTAAGAAAGACAGGTTATATTTCTTCAGAAAAGCAAATCAGACTGTTTGGAAATAGAGAAATAACCATTTTATCATTGACCTTGCAACACTGACAACATTAATTTTGTATCAGGTTCATTTATTTAGGGACACTAGTTTATGCTTAAAAATTCTAGAAATTAAACAAGAATGATACAGGTGGTCTTGCTAATAGTTTTTCTGTCTTGATCTGCTGTGTGTGATGGCTTAACTGTTTTAACTGAGAAATGCATTATTTTGTAAAGTTTATATAATGTTATTTTATTAAGCTTATATCTGAGGGTTTTTTTAATAATTGTTTTCTTGTTTTGCTTTTATTTTTTAAAATAATTTGCTATTAAAGAGAACTAGTACAGATACTCCTGTGTTTTCTCTCATATCAAGGCCTGTTTGATGTTAAATCTATCTGGGTTACTGACTTTATAAATTTGATGATTTTGCAACTGATAGGATTCTCCCATAACTAAAACTTAGAAAAAAAAGACAACAAACCAACAAAAAAACTCATTTGGTAGTTTTTGTATTGCCACTGTGAAAGAAAATATGTTGACAATTTAGCTGATACATAGTTATCAATGTGAGACTAATGGCACAGTTAAACTTGCTCAGGGAGTTTTTTAATGTCACCATTCAGGTTAGGCCTGGCTTATTGGTATGTGTATACTGTTCAGGCAATACTCAGGAAATGATGTGAGTTTTATCTGTTCACTGGAAATTCCTGGGAAAATTACCAAACTTCTACATGCCTCCCTCCAGAGATTCCTAATTTCAGCAAAGCATTAAAGCATAATTTTAAATCCCATAGGACTGCAGTTTTCACTGAATTTTGACTAATGCTTTGGTGCCTTGACATGTCAGAGCCAAAATAAAGTTGGTTTGTGGAAACAAATGGGTGAAAACGTGGAAAACATAATCCCCACTCAGTGTCATATAAAGTACAGTGAAACAAACCTGTGTGCAGAATAGAACAGTATGTGTATTCTGATTGTTTGAAAATATAGGGAGAGGATGATTGCTGGGCTATTTTGATTGATTATCCCAAATGTACATTAAAACAACCATTAGAAAAAAAAAATGTAAACACCAAATGAAGTATCTCCAGGAAGGGTGTGTTTATTTAGTAATTGCAATCAGAATGATTGAATGGGATGCACTCAAGGATGTTTTGTTTTGGGTGGCTGACAGCCTTCAATCTAATTTTTAATCAAAAGTAGTGCTGTGGACACAGCAACAGACAGTGGAGCCATCTGCTCCCTGTAGATCTTTGTGTCTGTGCACATTTGTATCCATCAACTTATAGACATGTGTGAGTGCTGAAACTGAAGGCATTTGCTGTGTGCTCACACACACTGCACATAAATCATGTGCATATTAATAGTTCAGTCTTCTTAGAATGTTAGCAATGGGAAAATATTAATGGTTGTAGTTGAAGTTTGCTATAATTATACATGAGTATATAATCTTATATATATCAACTTAATAAAAAGGGTGACTTATTTTCTTACGTTGTGTGTACACTTCAGTGCTTTGCTCAGAATTCTTGAAACACTGAAGTAAAAAGGAAATATTGGCCTGGAAGCTATGGGGGCCACTAGGAAGTGGACAGGATTTGGAAAATTCAAGAAGGAAAGTACAAGTCTAGAGTGCAACACGTGATACCAGAACATTGGAAGGCCTTTAGTATTAACCTGGCGAGCAGCAAAGTCCCCAGCATTGCCAGGTGGGGCTGTCAGAGGACCTTGCTTGGGGCTGTCCTGCAAGAACCAGGCTGTGCTTATAAAGCCAGGGATGAGCCTCTCCCCGGCATCTACAGCCTGAGTTTGGCAGAGCTGGGACCCTCTGCCCTCCCGAGCTCTCTGCCATGCAAGGCAGGTTTTTCTCCCAGCAGTGCCAGCATGGACATGGTGGTGGTCCTGGTGTGTCCCAACCCTCTCCACTCCTTCAGAGACGCTGCAGAGCCTTTCCTCCCTCCCTCACGCCTCCACACCAGCTCACCCCACTGGCTGCACATTCTGGGGGCACAGCCTGAGGAGGGTGAAAGGCAGCCCTTTGCATCTCTGCCAGGCCCTGCACCAGCCCGGAGCAAGGGATCCAGGACATGGAGGTGCCTCCATCCCTCCCTGCTGGCAGGCTGCCCGCTCCCTGGCCAGGCTCTGTGTATGGAAATCATGGAGTGCGTGCCTCCTGCCAGCACTGCTCTGTGCCTCCTTCTCTATCTGGTGGCTGTTGGTTCCCTTCCAATGGGCACTGGCATGGAGCTGAGGAAAGCACTGGCACTGGACTTCTCTCCAGTATGGCCAGTGTCTGTCTTGCACGGGGAGCCCAGAGTTGGACACAGGTGAGGGGAAAGGTCACCTCCCTGACCTGCTGCCAGAGCTTTGTCCACTGCAGCCCAGGGTTCTGTCAGCCACCTTTGCCCTAAGGGCACTTTGACACCTTCAATTCGGGGCTCATCCTGGGGTCCTCCATGTCCCAGGTGTTTGCACAGCTGCTTCAGAGCTGGCTATGCCCCAGCATCTACTGCTGCAAGGGCTTGTCCCTCCCTGGTGTTGGAGACTGAAATGTTATAATTTATTGCTTAAACATCTTCATGAAGGACTTTTGCCTATTATAGCAAAACTGTTTAAAAGCACCAGAGGAGACCACTGAGGCCTTACACTGCTTGTTGATGGAGATAAGTAAAGTGACTCAGGTCTGGGCTGGGGGAAGAAGAATACATTCACAGAGGGATCAGGCTTTGCACCAAAGGAGTGGGGGAGGAGAGGTTTTGGGTGACAAAAAAGCCTCCAGCCAGAGGTAGTGAACACCCATCCTCTGCTGTGCAGAGAAGCTCAGCTCTGGGGCCCCTTCACCCCAGGAAAAGCCACATCCACATAAAGGACAGCAGAGGGAGTGTTGTGACCCATCAAAGGACCCCCAAAGGAGTCTCCAGACCCTGCACCAGAGCACTGCAACATGATGCAACAGATCCACGGTATTGCAAGGGACAGAGTCAAACCGGCTCCCTGTGCAGGAGGCACATGGGCATTCCCACCTTGCCCAAATGTACATTAATGCATTGAATTCTATACTTTTTCAGGAGCAGGAGGTGGGGGACCCTCACCACCAAGAAGACCAGATGGAGGGGAGCAACGAGATGTCACTGGGACCCTCGGGAGGGTGATATCCTTCTACCTAACCCCTGTCCCTCTCTCCCTGTCTCACCCACACCCCTTTTCCCTTTTCTATTATTTTCTTTCTTCTCTCTTTCTCTTTGCCTCTTTTACTATTAAATAAAATAGATCAACTTTCTGGCACCAACATCTAACCTCATCTGGCTTTAATCAAGTTTTGGGGTACCTTTTGAACCTTTCTGGGTTTGATTCATTTTATTCACAGAGACTTAGTTTTCTTTGTTCCTCTGTGTTTAAACTGGTTTGTAACACCTAGTTGCAGTACTTGGCACTTGCCAAGCTACAGGCAGTTCCTGCCAGCCCCTTTCTCCAGGTCATCAAGGCCCCTCTGCTTGGCAGCAAAAAGCAGTTTGTACTCTCCATTTGGAATAACATGACTTCTTCCCCATAGTGGAGTAGTGTTGAGACACTTAAGAAATGCACTTTCCCTTAAATCCTTATAAAACCTTTTATTGAAACTCACTACATTGCTTTCAATTCTTAGTTTAGGGCTATTCTTGCTTTCTTCTTTCTCATCCTATCTCTGTCAGAAACTAAAAAAAAATTCTGTTCAGATTTTAAGTTTTTAAATATTAAACCATTTATGTTTTCTTCTTCTTCAAAGCTGATTAACACAGCAGAATGAAAAAGCATTTCTAGAAATGCATATTCCAATTTAAATGCTACACCTGGTAACACAAATCCTGTCAAATGCTAAAGGTCCCTTCCCCTCCAATATAATACCATTTATTTTTAAGCAAGTGATCTTTTTTCTTTAAAATGAGATTATTCTTATAGATATTTGTCATTAAGAAATTAACTCCCAATTCCCCTTTCCTCCCTAGCTGAGCAAGACTTTCCCACACTGTGAGTATCCCAGTGGCTGGGAACTGTGTTTGGGAAGAGGTGAAGTGGTGTGAGTCTTTGGGACTCCTGCTTGAGAAGATGGGAACAGCCATCCCCGAGAGGGGTGGGGAAGGGGAGAAATAAGCAGTCCAGCCTTCAGCTGAAGCAATTTTGTGGATGAACCAGTTGAATATTGTAGAACATGGATGTAGAACATGTAGACATGTCAAGGAACTTGACAAAATCAATGCTTGAGATAGGAGGAAATTGTTACTTTATTAGCAAGTACTTAGGGGGTGGATGGTACTTCGGGTTTGTGTTCACCTAGGTGAGTGAATTCTCCCACTCTTGAGAGAAGAAAATGTATTCAGACTTCAGTGATTATATATAGACTTTTCTCCTTGTATTAGTTGGGAAGGACCTCTGATTTAACTAGAGATCTGAGTGATTTAAACTCCTCTTTCTCAGTGATGAAGTGGTGGTGTCAGAGATAAGTAGTCACGCTGCCACTGCACTTTGGGTACTCAGCTTGGTGTCCTCATAAAGACGTTGCCCTTGCTTCCTCTGCTGCCATATGTTGTGGTTTCATCACTGTATACAATCTCCTCATCCTTCTGTTTTTCTGCTGCATTTGCTTCTTCCAGTTTGGTTGTAAGAAAAGTTACTGCTAAAAATAATGGCTGTACCAGATTCTCCCTTACTAATTGTTGATTCAAGGCTGGCATCCTTAGAGTAACCTAAACTTTATACCATCCTGTCATTCTCTTACTGTTCCCACTGACC